AAGGAGGCAAGGGCAAACCACTTCCAAAAAACTTTCCAAGAAAACTTTAGGGACTTGTCCAGGATTGACTCAAAGGCACACAAAAACCCTCTAAAATTTGTTACCAAATTGTAACGGAAAGGTAAAAATTATTCATTAAACTTAAGGCAGTTTTTCTCCCTCCCACATGTATTGATTTAATCCAGTGGTATAATAAATAGTTGGAATGGAAATGGTGTTTTGATGTATATTTGAAACTGATTTTGACTGTGTCCTTTTCGTTTGTTTGTTTCTTTGATTAATACAGGCTGAATGGAAATGAAAAAATAATACGTTGAATTATTTTCTGTTTTTCAGAACAATGAAATGGCAGAGCTGCAGAGAATTCGGATGAAAGATGAAATTAGAGAATATAAATTTAGAGAGGCACGGCTTCTTCAGGACTATACTGAACTTGAAGAAGAAAATATTACGTTGCAAAAGCTGGTTTCCACATTAAAGCAGAATCAGGTGAAGAGAGATTGAATTTTCAGTAGAAGATTTAAAAAGTAGTAATGCTAAATTCTCAGATACAGTATGTATTTCATCATAAGACGCTGCCTACAAACAGCAGGAAATGCTGTTTCAGGAAAAATTCTGGCATTTCAGTTGCTTCATTGATACTTAAAAATCATACATAATAAGGATAAAACAGGTTTGTAAAACAGTGATCACTAGTAATTGATGGAGACAGTACATTGAACCTTACTAAGCTTAATTCTAAAGGGATCTTACTACAAAACCAATGTTGCTGGATATTACGTGGGATTGGCAAGCTCATCAGGTATATACATTGAGTAAAAGTATTCCCCGACTGCTTAGGTACAGTTAGATGAGTTTTTAACTCAGATAAATAGGAAAGCAATGTTTAAAGTATCTTAAAATAAAAATAGCCACCTCAAAATAGAAAAGAAGGAACTAAAGGCATCAAGACCAGCTTTGTTGTAATGCATGAATTGGTTAGAGGGGGTGACTGTTATTGAGAAAAGTCAATTGCATCAGAGGGAATTACATCATTTGATTGATGATTCCATCTTGCAAATAACAATGGTGCAAATTATAGCAGAACTTTGATCTACTGCATGTGAAGTCCGTTGCATTGCGGTATAGCAAAATTAGGTTCTGTGATGTGGATTGAAGCACTCAGAACAATTAGTTAGTATATAATATAATAATATCTAATATAATTTGTTGTTAGTGCAGTGAAACCTTGATTTTAGGGCCAGTTGAGAGGAGAGAGTGTTCATTGTTCCCAAATGCCCATTAAATACAGAATTATGCCATTTGTGCAATTGTGTCTTTATGCAAATGAGGCAAATTGCATAATTGACATTAGTTTATGTCATTTTATATATGTAAATACATAATTTGTGTCATTTGCATAATTATGCCATTTTGCAAATGATGTGAATTGACATGAATAAAGTAAATTTAACTTCTTTTGATATTTTTTAAGCCCCTTGCCCAGACTTTGAATCCACTGGACATGTTCACTATTTAAGAATGGAAATTTTGTCTGTTCCATCCCAAATTCACTAAATGGGGATTCCTAAATCAAAATAAATGTCTCTGTCTCTTCTTGGCTTCAGCAAAGCTCAGGATTCTGGATAGAGAAGTAAGTGAGGATTTGACTATCAAGCCAATTTTTGTTTTGGTAACTTTTAAAGAGCTTTTATGTGGTGTCTGAACATGCCCAGTGGCCACCCTATTTAAGAAGCCAAGAGCATGCCAGACCAGTTTGAAATATTTTAGTAGAACATATACAACAAGCACATCTGCCTACCCATATATATGTACACAATTTACTTCCTAAAAAGGAAGGAAGAAGAAGAGAACAACAACGACCTTCTTGTTTTCCACAAGGTAGACCAAAGGGCTTTGGGAAATTCAAAAAGTGCTTTCTGTCCAGATGAAATGGAGGTGAATCTCAATTACGGTATCCCTGCTAATTCTCACTGCTTGTATTCTCACATTTTGTTCCAGCCTTGTTTGTTTTCTTCTCTTTGATGTATTTGGTTCCTTTTTCATGGAAAAAAAGCAATAACTGCTTTTGTTTATTTGTTACTAGCCATGCAAATTCATGATAGGCAAATGTTTCCTTCAGTTTGTTTTTGTTATCAGCTCTGAATAGTGCTAATTGACTGTTATATCTGCATTCTTCAGCTGTTTTATCTTCCCTCTTCTTCCTTTTGGGACAATAAAAGGATACATATAGGGAATAGAATGTAATGAATAAAGATATTATATGGAGAAAATCTATCTACGTGGTCACTAAGAATTGACAACAACTTGATGGCACATAATCAGTCTATCAAACATAGAGCATAGAAAAGCAAGGGTTGGCTTGCTGAGCTGTTTTGCTATAAAGAGGCAAAGTCAACATCAGGCAGAAGTCAAAACGCAAGGCAACAAACAAGGAAGAGGAGCGGGAGTTTGTCCTTACACCAGAAAAGGGATTAGCTCTCAGCAAGTGCTTTTTACAGGCACACTCCCTGAATATACTCTTCTGTCTGTAAATGCTTATATAAGGAGTATGTATGTATATAGTACCTTGAAAAATATGTCATTAAGCTTCGGCCTGAACAGAACAATTAGAAGCACTTGAACCATTTGTATTTTACATTCCTCCCTTTTGAATATTATGGCCCATGTAATGGGTACACTTAAAAATCAGTTCACTTTACTGAGAAGTGTACATCATGAAATGTGCCAGATGATGTTTATTTTGGTGATGGGGAAAGGTAGACATCTCAGTTGTTTTCACAACTTATGCCTTATTAGTGCAGATAAAATTTAGCGATAGAATTACCATATGTTACTGGAGATAAAATATAGCGATAGAATTACCATGACTTCAGGATTCTCCCTGGAGCTAGTTTTATTCAACTTGTAATATCTGGCTCCTTTTCTCGCCCATTGTACAATGTCTCATCTTTAGACATTTATCTGAAGAGATGCAGCAAACGGCAGATTGTGTGTAAATCCAACTTTTAGTATTATGAATCTTCTTTATCTTATTTAATTCAGGTTGAATATGAAGGCTTGAAACATGAGATAAAACGGTTTGAGGAAGAGACTGTGTTGCTTAATAGCCAGCTAGAAGACGCCATCCGGTTAAAGGAGATTGCGGAGCATCAGCTAGAGGAGGCCCTGGAGACATTAAAGAATGAAAGGGAGCAAAAGAACAATCTAAGGAAGGAACTGTCCCAGTATATCAATTTAAATGATAGCATGTATAATAATCATATTAATATCTCAGTAGATGGATTAAAGTTTGGGGAAGATGGGAATGAACCTAATAACGATGACAAAATGAACGGACACATTCATGGACCTCACATGAAACTGAATGGTGACTTTCGGACCCCCACCGTTAGGAAAGGAGAATCTTTGCACCCGGTCTCTGATCTCTTCAGTGAGCTGAACATCTCTGAAATGCAGAAGCTGAAGCAGCAACTTATGCAGGTAACATTTGTCTTGGGAGAGTCAAAAGGAGGTTTCAATTCGTAACCTTTGTAGGAAGAGCTCATTTTACTTACACATATGATGTGCAACGATACCAAAAGCATTTCTCCGAGAAAAACAATTTGGAAAAAGAAGTAAATATACCTTCTTTTAAAGTTCTTGCTTCTTCAAATATATTTCAACAACGTGTGTTTTTTGTTTTGCGTCATTTTCACTTTCTTTGTCAAATTCATTTGTGAATTGCTACTGCCATTTTACTGCTTTTTTTGGTAGCCCACCTAACATAAAAATAATCCTGCTGGATTGAGCCAAGGCCCATCTAAGCCAAGCATTTGTTTTTCACAATGGCTAACTAGGAGTGATCATAAGCAGGAATTGGAGATGTACCTTCTCCCACCCTTGTTCCCTGCAACTGGCATTTGGAGTCAAGTTGTTCCCAACCCAAGGATAACACTGAGTTTTCAAGGCTAATACCCTTGACAGACCTATCACCCATGAGTTTATTCAGTTTCCTTGTATAGGTATTCAATTTAGTAGCAATTACCATGTCTGATGTTAATGGATGACTTGTGGTCCCAGTGTTTGGATAGGGAGAGAAAAAATTCTCTCTGTTGATTTTCTCCATACCATGTACATGTATAACTTGATCATGCAGCCCCCCAATCACCTTTTTCCTAACCTAAAGAACCTCAAACATTCTAGTTTTTTTTTTTTCTTGTAGACAAAGTGTTCAATCCCTCTGCTCACTTTGGTTGCCCTCTTTTACACTTTTTCCAGCACTGTTTTATCCTTTCTTAAATGTAGGAACCAGAATTGTACACCATGTCCTAGAGATAGATATAGCACAAATTTTATAAGAGCATTTATGATGTTGATAGTTTGATTTTCAATGCCTTTTTTAGGATGGACTCCACAGGCTTCACAGGTGCTGTGTACTGAGTTGTCATTATGAGATTGCAGCAGGATATAAATTCAGTCAATCAATCTTCATTCAGCTATCCACTGTAACCACAAGATCTTTTTCCTGGTTAGTTAGAGATAGCTTAGATTTTATAAGTATACCAATAACGTAAAAGTTTTTTTTTTGTCCCAATCTGCATCACTTTACACTTATAATTGATCTGCATCTGCAGTTTGGTTTACCACTCTCCCAGCTTAAAGAGAATTGCCCATTTATCCTATTCTTTGCTTTCTGCTTCTTAACCATTTAGTAATCCATAAAAGGAAAATTGTCTTATTTCATGACCACTAAATTCTTTCTTGAGATATTTATGTCCTTTTTCCGGGTTATTGCAGGTGGAACGTGAGAAGGCGATTCTCCTGGCTAATCTTCAGGAGTCTCAGACCCAGCTGGAGCACACAAAAGGGGCCCTCACTGAGCAGCACGAACGGGTCCATAGGCTTACTGAACATGTCAATGCAATGAGGGGTCTGCAGAGCAACAAAGAGTTGAAAGAAGTAGATTTTGAGAAAGGCCGAGATTCTGGGGAAGAAACCCATGATTATGAAGTGGACATCAATGGCTTAGAGATTCTGGAGTGTAAATACAAAGTAGCTGTTACAGAGGTGATTGACCTCAAAGCTGAAATAAAAGCCTTAAAAGAGAAGTACAATAAATGTGTTGAAAACTACACTGAAGAAAAGGCCAAGTATGAGAGCAGGATCCAAATTTATGATGAGCAGGTATCCAGCTTAGAAAAGTCAACGAAGGAAAGCCACGAGAAGATGACCCAGATGGAAAAGGAATTGCAGAGGATTACAGGTGTTGCCAACGAGAACCATAATACCCTCAATGCAGCTCAGGATGAGCTGGTGACTTTCAGTGAAGAGCTTGCTCAGCTCTATCATCATGTCTGCCTCTGTAACAATGAAACTCCTAATAGGGTTATGCTGGACTATTACAGGCAAAGTCGTGTTACTAGAAGTGGGAGCTTAAAGGGACCTGATGATCCAAGAGGGCTTCTATCTCCTCGCCTTTCCAGGAGAGGAATGGCACCCCCTGCAGAAGCTAGGGCACCACCTGAACAGGGTTCAAAAGAGAGCACAGAAGCCAACAAAGAGCCAAGTCCAACAAAGACGCCCACCATTTCTCCTGTCATTACAGCCCCTCCTTCCTCCCCAGTTTCTGACACCAGTGACATTCGGAAAGAGCCAATGAATATTTACAACCTCAATGCCATAATACGGGACCAAATCAAGCACTTGCAGAAAGCAGTAGATCGGTCGCTGCAGCTGTCCCGGCAGCGTGCAGCGGCCCGTGAACTGGCACCTATGATTGATAAGGACAAGGAGGCTTTAATGGAAGAAATATTGAAATTAAAGTCCCTGCTGAGTACAAAACGAGAGCAGATAGCAACCCTCAGGGCAGTGTTGAAAGCCAACAAGCAGGTAATTTGAGAACGGTAATGTCCTGTCTGTAATTAGGTATATAATTTATGGGTTTTAAAGAGCAATTTTATGATTAATTTACATCTGTTATTGCTGTGAACTGTATATTTTTGAGCATCTTGTGAAATAATAGTAGAATGTTCTTAAGTTTGTATGAAATTCCAGAGGACAAGAAACATAAGTATATTTTGCTAATTATTTTTTAAATCAACTTGGATTAAATGTGCATAGCACCCTTATTCTGATACTATTCCATGAAGTGTTCAGATTATGAGGTTGCTCATATTTAAAGGGTTTAAATTTCAGAAGTTAGAGGGTTATAGTTTAGATATTTTGAGATATTGTGATACTTCTTGATTTTTTAATATATCCTGGATTCTTGATTTTTGAAATATATCCTAGAAATTTGTTGAGGTATTTCTCAGGGACATTATATTAATTTCTAATTTGAAAATAAAATATAGACATGAAGACTGAAAAGATAGCACATGTTACCTCTTAGTGAAAAAGAATCAAAGTTGAATCCAAATCTACAGTTCTGTGATTAACCAGAAAAACTTACAGAGCTGCCAATTGGAAAGTAAAATCTAAGAACCAAAGGAAGTCACACTGATGCTACCTAGTGGCCAGCAGAAGTTAAAACTTGGGTATTGCCTATGCCAAAAAACAACAACAACAAAAAAAACAATGCTTTAATACTTATATTTATCCTATTTTTTCTCTCATCTATTTTTATGCTTAGTTCACCTGGTTTAATACTATATATCAGCATGCATATATAGTTTTATAATTAATATAATTAATTATGGATATTGACCTCCAGAATTCCTGGTGTTGTAGAACAAACAAACCCTCTTATATTGATAGCTTTGTTTATTTAATTTTGTGGGGGCACCCTAATAGTTGCATTCTGTTCTTATAACAGACTATATGCACTGAGGGTATAGTTGGTGTATTCCATCACTCTGTAAATTTTACGTACAATTTTGATTCTAGCTTGTTCAGCTGAAGGATGCATGGTAGTCTGAGCAGCAAGGTCTACCCATGACCTTGGAGAGCCATTTCTATTCTGAATGGGTGGTGAATTTTATAAACTACTAGCCTTTATAGACTACTTCAACTTCTTTCTTGTATCCAAATATATGACTAGTTGTTGATCAGCTTTATGGATAGGCTGATCTTTATTTTCCAGATCTATGTTTATACTGCTATGGGGTTAATTGCTCTAATGTTCTCTGTTTTTCTTCAGCGACAAATTTATCTATTTTTCATTTTAATAACTTAGGTAAAACATTTCAGAAAGCATATAGCTGGTGTGACTTTTGTCTATAATTCACCAGATATTCTCCTAATGCCTTATGGAGGCCTGCTACTTTATAGATTATGCCATTTGACCATATGCCACAACTACATGCCTCAATCCAGCACATTAGCACACAGCATGAATTGAAAGCTGGTGTATCTTCTAAATAGAGGTTTCCATAAATCAACCTTCCCCAACCTGGTCCCCTCCAGATGTGTTGGGAGATTTATGGGGAAGGGTTATTTTGTGCCAAGAAGAGGGGTCTGCAGAGTAATCTAATTAATCTGAGCCAAACATCCTTCTCAGAAAGGAACCTGACACAGACTGGAATCTGCTTCATGTTGACAAATGACCTTTATGCGTTGATATTCTGCGAAGTTTAAATTCTCTCCATTTTAACTATAGTAAATGCCCCTCAAATTCTATTCCCCATCCTGATACATAAGATATTTTCCTAAATCTTTTAATCCCACGTCTATAAAAAGTTCCTTCCATTTGAAAATTCCTAAGATTTATTCCCCCTCCCAACCTTTTTATCTCTTAATGGGAAGAAGGGGATTTGCCCAATGCTTGACTCCTTCTATATCAGTGTTTTTCAAACTTGGCAACTTTAAGATGTGTGGACTTCAACTCCCAGAATTCCCCAGCCAGCTGTATCAAGAAGATGAAAATAAGTTTACATGTTTATAATGACTATATCTTTATTTCAGACAGCAGAAGTGGCCCTGGCTAACCTGAAGAATAAATATGAGAATGAGAAAGCCATGGTAACAGAAACTATGACTAAACTGCGCAATGAGTTAAAAGCTTTGAAAGAAGATGCAGCAACCTTCTCATCCTTGAGAGCCATGTTTGCAACCAGGTACTGAAACCAACTGTTAAGACAGAAGTTTCGCTCCCTGTGTATGCACTGCTGCTCCATCTGAGCAGTTTTCCTGGGAGATGTTTATGAGGTATTGGATATACCTAGCCAGACAATTCAAGCCATCGTCTCAGAAAAGTAGCAGATATTCTCCAGGAGCTCAGGCAAGGGTTGACTATAACTGTAGTTGCAGAAAATCCTCCAAAACGATCAGTTCCTAAGTATATATTGACTTTATATATCTGCACCCCCAAATAATTAGTCCACAAGATTATGTTCTGTCCATAGTATTAGATCAATTTGTGAAGGTCACAAGTAAAGTCAGTAGGCACGATCCCCCTCTCTCCTAATGTTATTTTTTGAATAAATATATTTTAACAAATATATTTGTTAAATATTTTTATTAAATGTTTATTTAAAAACATAAAAATGAGCAAAACCTGGACTCATGAAGCCGATAAGAAGTGACAGTGGACTTCAAGATGCATTGGTGGAAAAAAAGTCACTTAAGAACACACCAACAGTTGGAGATGACCCAAGAAATATTTTATTAAAGCTAACAAGTTACAGTGAGTCTCTGGTCTCCTGCTATTAAGGGAGAAGAACACCAGAGAGTGGTCAGCCAAGTTCTTATAAAGGATTGTAGAGACTGAAGATGAGCATACTATACATTTGACCACTGAAAATAATGGTTTTAGCACTGATAAGGAATATACATAAGGGTACAAAGGAATCTAAGTGTCCCTCTGACTGGAGAGAGAACAATTTGTTATGCAGAATACTTAGCCTCTGGGAAGTGTGAATACCAATTGAACTGATGGTTATTCTAATTGTTGGACCCTGCATTCCACTTTGAATAGGGGGAGTTGTAAACACACAGATATGATCATATAGAAGGTATATAGAACAATAAAGATTCTCTCCACAATATTTAAATTTTAGGACTCATAGTTTAGAATGAAGACAGGTTATATAAATAATTTCTTTTAAAATCCTCTAAAATTTCAGTTTCTGCTAATCTGATACCTTATCAAAGTAATTTTCTTGGTTCATTGTTGACTTTGAACAATCCATGTGGTAGCTCATATTTGAAGTAGTAGTTGCATTTTGCTTTTAGTGAAAAGGAGTAATAGAGAATGTAGATTTGCTTCCAGAAGAAAGATTTCATTCATACTACTTAGTACAAATCTTCCAAAATTTATTTTATAGTGTCTTGCTTAAATTAGCCATTAAAGCATTTATACAGTTAAGTTGTATAAGTGTCCTTGAGAAATGATGGAATCAGAATCCACTTAAATGCAGCACAATGTGATTTTCTAAAGATTTGGCTCGTACCATGATATACCTTTCTGTAAGCAAGCAGGCTCTATTTTCGATAAAATTTCAGATGCTTCACTCAGTGACTAAAACAATTACATAAAGTATTTGGCTCTCTGAAAAATGCTGTTTGGTTTCATGGGTAATTTCTGCTCTAATTTGTAAGCAATCTTTGCATCAAACATTAAGATAACTCTCTTTTTAAAAAAATAGTCTTCCTCCATCCTTGAAAATAGCCCATGTAAATAGAGCAGCAGAAGTCACTTTCAAAGAAAGAAATATAGTAGCAGCAAAAACAAACAAAAGAAAAATGTTTTCAGTATCCACCTTGCTTATGCATACAATGAAGCACGGAAAGTACTTTCTAGGCTTCATTCCACTATTGCGTTTCAGAATAGTTCTCTAAAAGTATTTTGCACACCAATGTCTTGTTTTGAGAAGCACCTCTTGCTGTGTTGTGTCTTCATTCTGGTAGCTTCTCACATACTGCAGAAGCTAATGTCTACCACGACAATTCTTCGGCCTTTACGGCCTGCTTTGAGAGGGTCTTGTGTATTCCATATTCATAAATGTTCATACATTCACATTAACACATGGCGCAGAGAGAGAGGGGAGCTAAACAGCTATAAATCACTATATATAATACATAATATCATATTGGTAGCAATATGACAATTTATTAAGAGTATAGGTAGCCTTCGCTTAGTGACCACAATTGGGACCAGCAATTCCCAGTCACTACATGAAACATCATGTGACAGTGATGGGCTTACGATCTCCCTTCCCCTTTGGTCATTAAGTGAATCACTATGGTTGTTAAGTGGGACATCACATGACTCTGACTTATGATTTTACTTCCGGCTTCTCTACTAACTCTGTTGCAAGTCAGTTGCGAAACACACAAGTAGCGATCATGTGACTGCAGGATGCTGCAACAGTCATAAATGCAAGAATTGGTCACAAAGTGATTTGTTTTACACCGTCGTAACTTTGAACAGTTGTTAAACAAGGCACTTGGTAAGCCAGGACTACCTGTATTTTATTTCAGTAGGTCTCTTGGAGTGCTCTGTCTTATGCAGCCCTTAATTCTATGGATTTGTGTCCCCAAGTTATTGTTAGTTTGGTTGCTTTGGAAGAAAGGAAGACAGTTTATGGTCAAGATTAGGGCAAAAGCTGTGACAGAAAGACCAAAAGCCGCTTTGGAGTGTGTGGAGGTGCAAACAGAGTAGAGGGTAGCCCTGTACTCCTAGAAAAAGGTCCAGTTGCTTTAAAGAGTTGCTGACAGATGCCAGGTTTGTAACTTTGGCCTCTACGAAAACCCTTTTTTATCTTGAATCCTCACAGCATCATCTGCTTTTTGCTGCTGCTGAAATTCAGAAGAATTACTTTTGAGGACCCGTCTCCTCACTTCGAGGGTGTTGGTGCTGACTTCCATGTGGTTCGTGTTGGCAAAAGAACAAAAAATGGCTGGCCAGGAAATACACACAGACAGCTTGACCTGTTCCTCTTTCCTTATTTCCTTCCAGGTGTGATGAATATGTCACTCAACTGGATGAGATGCAGAGGCAATTGGCAGCTGCAGAGGATGAGAAAAAGACCTTGAATTCTTTGTTGCGGATGGCTATCCAGCAAAAACTCGCCCTGACTCAACGTTTGGAAGACTTAGAGTTTGATCACGAGCAGTCCCGGCGGAGCAAAGGCAAACTTGGGAAAACCAAGATCGGCAGCCCTAAAGTAAGTGAGGAGGCATCAGCCACCGTGTCAACCATAGACACTTTCCTCCTGCATAGTCAGGCCCCACAACCACCAAACATACTGGTCAGCAGTGGCACTCAGAGGAAAAGGTATGCATGCAGTCATATTTATAGTACAGTGCAGTGGCCTGACTTGACTTAAGGTCATCCACTGAATTACAAATACATTATATATTTTATAAGAAGAGGTTGGGGATGGGGAGGACAGAATTAGTGGCTTTCAAAATGTAAACATTGGCTGTTAATTCCATCTGCCATGATATTTTCTTGTCCCTTTCGATATGGTCGTGATTCATACCTCTTAGCATTTCAGCACATTTTGTATGTCTTGAATGTATCTGCTTGAGATAGAGCTGAATACCTCAGGTGTGGGAGTGGGCCTGTGTTGAAAAAGCACATCCAAAGAAAACGGAACATGCTAATAAACTGGTGCTAATAAATCTGCCTCCTCAGCGGGTAGAAGTGTTTTCATTCGCATGTGCTCCTCAGTGTATGTATCAAAAAGCACAAAGTTTCGAAAGAAACTCTTACACAAACCCGTATGTGACTTTCCTGCCAGAGGCCCCACCATTATAGGGAACAATTTCCAAGAATCACTTCAAGCATGTCCCTGTAGAGATACTTTTGGGACAAAGATGAATCATAGATTTACTCCTGTTCAGTGTAACTGTAATAATCATGTGAATATGTGTGGAGCCTGCATATTTCAGGCCTGAACAGCCTGTGAATCACCAAGCCATACACAACAATATATATACGGTGTTGATTTATGTTAATTTATGTTGCTTGGAACTATGTTGATTCCTGGCAGCATTCAAAAACCACCTCAAAGAGGCCACCAAAATTTTATTGTTCCAGTGAGCAGCAAGAATAGATTGTATTGAACTCATGCTGGGACATCACAATATTTACTTGGCTCGATTGATCACGCAAGTTGAGCTCCTTGCCTAAATTCTTCCTCAGATGTACACCAATCCCCCCTGTAGCGTTCTGTTATGGGGTGGCAGCAGTTATAGGGGATGGTGGCAATATGTTGGGTAATTTTTTCAGGAGGGTGGGTGATATGTGATATTTAATTTAAGGGGCCATTGCTCAGTAATTAAAGTAAAAACTCTTTTGTTTCCGTATGTATTTTTTCTTGGATCTCCTGCAAGACTATTCTCACCTTCCCCTTGTGATCAGAGCCATTCCAGGACTTCAGGGACCTATCTACTGCCTTTATTAAGAACCCCCCCTGATCACACCTCCACAGAATCATTTCTTCTGAAGGGCCCCCCTTCCATGAATGACTCCTTCCATGGGCACCGTCTCAGCAAGGAAAAAAGGTTAACCGTAGCCATCCCAGGTAAACATTTTTTCCTTGGGTGCATGTAGTGCAAAATGATTTGCTAAGTATAAGGGGAATCCTCTCCAAATGCTCTACATGCCATCTTTAATTTGGACATATGCTTACATCTTTATAGATGAGCATCCTCAAACTAGTTTCCCAAAGCCAGTGAAATTCTTCTTGACTGAGCAGATGGAGGGTTTAATACAAAGTGTCTTCAACTTATTTCAGTTTCTACTAAACAAAAGATATAGTGGTTCATATTTCTCTCTAACTAACCCAACTGGTGATGGGTTAGATGGTGATGTACAACCATCACAGTGAGAGAATCCTCCCAGGCCCTTCCTCTCCTCCTATTATGAACTGAGTATTTTTAGAGATTCTGGCTCATATTAAGCCAAAGTTACGTGTTTTGCCTGGATTAAATAACAAACATTAAGACAGATTTTTTTTTTCCAGTTCAGAGATAAAAATGCTCTCTGGCTTAAGATAAGTACTGAAGCCTGTCAACCACAGGAAGAATGACAGAAAGGATCCTCTGTCCCAACACTCATTCAGAGTTTGTAAAACATGGTTTATGAAGTCTCATGTTACATGTGACCAGTGCCCATAATACTTTAGCCACTATCTTTTAAATTTCCTTTCTATATGTCCATGTATTGGCAAAGCAAAAGGGAAGAATAAAAAAAGAGAAAGGAGAAATCTTTTGCATACCTGCACAACTATGTAGATAGAACACTGATAGGTATATTTTTATACAGTGTTAGTCTTTTTCTCAAATTGCATCCTGCAGGAACATTTTGTTAAACGTAAGTTGCTACTTTCCCTGTGAATCATAATTGAAAATGCACATCTAATGAAGCTTAGGAAGATATTGCACACACAAGGCAGAGCCATATCTCCTCTCAGCTCTAAGAGGAGTATCTTTTCTCTGATACTTTTATATTACTGATATTTGCTGTAATAGGAGGTTTTTGGCTGTCCCTATATCTTTTGACTTTCAACAGCCTCCTTCTAATACAGCTTTTGGTTACCCATGTCTGCTGTTTGTGAATCAGTTTTACTAGTTCAGAGGGGATGGAAATATAAGCAGTCTCCAAACATCAGGTGTAAACATTCAGAGAAGCCACCGATTTACCTTCAGAAGTTACTGACTCTCAAAGAAAGTCTTTCTATCATTTTTTTGGCAATTATTCCCCACCTGAAGCCATGATTTGAACTTAGTTTAAAATGCCAGTTTGCTATAATAATGTTCTATTATGTCCAGGCCTATAATCCTGGTTCATTTCTAATTGATTTTCAAGTCTTGACCCTTACTAATTCACAAAGGTATGAGAATGGAGGAGATAAAAAAGGAAGAAGGTTGCTTAGGCTAAATTGCTTTCTATTGCTCCCCTCACCCCCATTTGCTCTCTTTTCACTATCCCTCAACAGTCACCTTTCCATGCTCAACCCTTTCCTTATCTAGCCTTTGGCAATGTCAGAATGTCCCCCCGCCCTTTTTTTTTTCTGCTGTTGCTTTGCACAGGGAAAGACTATTGCTTTTAAAATGCAGATAACACCCATTTAGTGCAAGATGAGAAACTCTCAAAGAGAACAAGTGCTGATACCAAGCATTAATTACAGATTGTTTTTGACTGGTTAAAGGTTTTCCCAAATCAATTCATTTAATATCAACAAAATTGGGATTCCTTAACCTTTTTGGCCTGGGACCACATTTCATCAGTTAGATAAAGTGCCATAAACATCTTCATAACATGACTGCTGGGCCAATCAGAAAACGAACACCTGTCTGCAGAAATATCTGTGGTCATAGACAGGCAAAATATAAAACAGATTTCCTGTTCCAACAGAAGCAGATTTTTTTTTTTTATAAAGGCAAACTGAACTGGTTTATTTACAGAACTTGGTCAGGAATGTAAATAAAAGACAGGGATGAAATCCGATTTCTCTCCTTCCTCCCCAAAACACAACAAACCCCACTTTTACAAAAGAGAACTTTGTAACACTTAAACCACCACCCATACAACTTTAAGTTGGTGTGTGGAAATGCTGTATTTCAAGAGGAACCACCTTGTGATACAAAGCTGCCCTCTTCCAACTTGGATGCTGAATGGAACGCACTTTGTAATAGAACTACGGTCTAAGCTACTGTATGTAATATGTAACCGCATAATATCAACCTGTTTGTTCTTCAACAGTCTCAAAGAACCCAAGTTAAAAATTGTCTAAATACCTTCTAAGTGGAGACTGTGAAGACCAAAGTTAAATATAGTTTTATATGCTAGCTTCAGATTAAATACTTGTACAGATCAAAGCATAGTTTGAGGGAGTACTGTATGGAGCTCAAGGTTAATTAGTTTAGAACAAAGATAGATGTTTACATAATATAAATAAAAGGTGAAAACTCATCTTGGCACATTTTCTCAGATAGAGAACCTTGACATATTTCAATAAACTGCAGTGGTCTCACCCATCCTGTTACCCCAATTTCTTTCTAGTTTTCTTTTTATAACTTCCACATTTGGAAGAAGCTCTGTGTCATTATCCTTTATTATTCATTACAGATTTTTTATTCTTACTATAATGCGCTTTGTACTGTGTTTGACTTTGTATACTGCCCAGAGTATGAGGCAGTTTATACATCTTAAGCAAACTATAACCCAATATATAACTGTGTGGCTGGGATTGTTCTCCAGCAAAATTCCACAAACATCCCCTTCATGAGCTAGTGAGTCAAACTTGATTCCTGGTGTCCAGATGCAAACATCCATGTTGATTTTTTGGTTTTATGGAAGTGGTTTGCCACTGCCTATTTCCAGGATTTTTTAAAAAAAAACTCTTACAGCCCTACAATTTCCTGGTGGTTTCCCATATCTGACCGTACTTCGTTTTTTCAAGGTCAGCTACATGCCGCCATTTGCTGTGACACTCCAGAAAATACTGTCCCTATACAACCTAGCAGAAATATACCACAAAAAGCTCTTCTAAAAAATCTTCCATAACTTTAGAAACATTCAGGCAAAATGTTTACTACTGGAGTCCTGGCTGAAAAGTGGAAGGAAAACAAATCAGACATTGGCCAACCTTTCTTTGAGGGTGTTGCTTGACTGAGATTCCAGTTAACAAGATATGATGAAAACAAATGGCATAGCATTGTGCAAATGTAGCCACTGTATGATTTCATATCTAGTTGTGAAAGGCAATCAAAATAAATCATTTTTAATGTTGCTTGACAAAACCATCTCTCTTGTACCCTGCTTATTACTCACAAGTTCCTCTCTTCTACCTCTCTAAAGTTGTGGCACCAGTGGAACGTTTCCAAGTGCAGGACATCTCTCATGAGGAACACTTGAGAGCCATTTTCATGGATTTGGCATCTAGGCCCAATACATGTTACCAAATACAAGGTGGGGGTATTTTTAATCATATAAGTAATTCCACCACCACTGATCATGACTTTGTTGGAATGTGCTAAAGTTGGTCCCTAAATACTGTGCCTTTGGTGGAAAGGAACTGATATATTTTTAATTTTAAATGCGAGAGACTAATATCCCAGAACACCCCCCCCTTTTTTCCAAAAGACTCCCTTGTAACTTTTTAAATTCCACCTTTTTGCTTAGTTGTTTCATTCAAATCTAGAAGTTTGTTTTAATGCCCTTTTAATGTCTCAAAGCAATGTAACCTAGAATAAATTGTTCCAGTGAAATATTATATAAGGTTATAAAGGAAAATAAAGGAAAAACAGCTTTTTCCTTATTACTGTCCATTCAAAATGCCTGTATGAACAAAGAAGAGGTTTTGCAGGTTTGAAATACAGGGAGGCTTATGCTGTGTGCTGCCAGGGAGATAGAGCATTGAAAACAACATCTCCTACAACCTTGACTGCACCATCTCCCAGGCTGATTCATTTGCTTATTCTTACTTTTCTGAACTACAGATACAATCATCAGCCAAGAATCAGCAAAAAAAGCCCCAAACAATTAAAAATATGAAAGCAATCCAACTCTATTCAGTTATACTCCCCTGTCAGAAAAGTTAAGGGACTGCCAGAACAGAGATGGAGCGGCAACACCAGTAGCTCTTCCTTCTTCCAGAGAACAGGTTGTGGGGGAGGGCAATCTCTCCTATAGGGAGTGCCCATTGCAATAATTGGGGCCAATAGTTGTAAGGTGACCTCAGAAAGAATATAAGGACTTTGATGTTGAAAACCCCCAGTGTATATGATTACATCAAAGTCATATGCATCAACTACTGAGTTATTCCAGTTTCTCTGTCTCTGTGTGAGGCCAATCAGATATATTAAGCTCAGGCTATATATTACACTAAATCTGCTTTTAGAAAAGCAAGCTTAGCCAGGCCACATGTTTTAATGGAGAAACACATGCATAGGGATTCCCTAAAATTCTCCCTTTCTATCAAATTAACTCCAGTTATTACTACATACATGTTAAAGTGTGTGTGACTTGCAGTTTGGCTCATGCAGGACAAGCTATGTATACTCAGTGTTTTATTTCATCCCTTTTATATGGTTTTCTATGTGAAAGGCATCTCCAACTAATTAAATTCCAAAATTTGAATTATAAATACCATTAAAATATGAAGCATATATACACGTATATATATTTGCAATAAGTAAAGCATTTAGTGCAAAATATTTTAAAATTGCTGGGAGTGGAGGAAAAAAACCATTCGTAAACAGTAGTCACTCAAGGTAGGGCTGGATGAAGAGATGACTTTTTAGCACTCCACAATAAGTGCCTTGTGAATATCAGCAGAAAAAAACGTTCCCGAGTGGACGTGCACCGCCATAGAGAAAGTCCGTTTGTGCGTAACTGGTGCAGGAGAACTGCAGAGTCTGTAGCAAGGGTTTTGGTGATTGTCCATATCTATATAAAGCAAAACAAGATCCTAGACAGCTTAGACAAAGTTTAGAATGTTATCTGTGCTAGAAATAAATCAATGGATTAGGTTTGAATTTTACTCTTGTATTGCAGACGTGTGAAGAGCAGGCAAAAACAGGGC